TTCTCATCTGCCCACCCCTGTAACCTGTCTAGGTCCGATTGCAGCCTATTCCTCCCTTCTAGCGTGCCCACATCCCCCCACATCTTAGTGTCATCAGCAAATTTGAACAGGGTGCTTTTTACCCCTTTGTCCAAGTCACTCATGAAAATGTTGAACAGTGTGGGCCCGAGGACCGAGCCCTGCGGAACCCCACTGCCCACATCCCTCCAGGCTGAAAATGACCCATCCACCAGCAGCATGTATAGTGTTTCTAGGTCTGTGGTATGGTAATGACCGCTAGTCCTTTAGTTTGGTGACGTATCAAAAGTATAGGTATGCTGCTATGTATAAAACATGTAACATATCTGTATGTCTTTTATTTTCACTGGCTACTGTTAAGTGTCTTCCATACAATTTTTTCTTGAAGTCTAGGGTTGTTACATACCAAGAGGTTTGAGTTCCACTGATGAAAAGCAGGGAGCATTTTTAGTTAATGTAAGCTTCATCGGAAATGAGAACTAGAGAGCATTAGCGCACACTAATGGTATCCTTGAAATTCAGGTCAGTAGGGAAGATTTTTACACTGATTCAGATGAGTTGACAAAAAACGGCTGAAATTTAGAAAACGTTTGTGCACTCCTGTGTGGAAAAACAAAGCAATGCACATCTAAAAAGGCTTTGCAAAAGTAAAACCAACTTGCTTAATAAAACATAACATGCTTTCTGTTCCCACAGAATGCCACTTTGAAAGAACTCAATGTCTGCAATGGCGATACATTGGTTATAACTGAGGGGAAACTTCCACCAAAGGTAAAAGTCAGACTGCAGCAGTTGGTGAGCTATTTTAGTGGTTTACTACTTTCAGAATTTCTCACTCAGTATAAAATTTTAGGGAATGCTGTTATCCTTTATTTGACTTTCAGTTTTGAAATAGCTCTGTTTATTCAATTCAGCATTACAAACATTTTTAGTGAATGTACTCTTTTGACTCTTACAGACGTATCTGCCTCGGGACATTTGCATATATTTTTTGTTATGTCAGTGAGAAATTTAAATGAAATCCATTGGTATTCTCTTAGCATGTAAAAACAAATGGAAAATAACCTAAAGATTTAGGTAGAGGTGCACCCATATATCGGTGCCGATCTGATACAGGACCGATGTAGGGAAAATTGACAGTTAATCGGGGGCTTTTTGGCTGATGTGGCTGATAATGTGGCCGATTTTCAAATGCCCTGTGCGTGCCGCTATCTCTGCCTCAGCCCCAGCCCCACTCCCTCCCTCGCTGCAGGGGCCTCAATCTGCTCTCCGAACGCCCCTTCCCTCTCCCTCCCCATCGCCCCTTCCCCGCAACAGACTTAGCAGCCGGATACTGTTCTACATGCTGCTGGGCTGCATATCGGCAATTGGATCAGTATCAGCCGATTTATGGCTCATTTAAAAATTGGCCACTGGTATTGGCCCAAAAAACTCTTATTGGTGCACCCCTAGATTTAGGAACTGTTCCAAAAGCACAAACCTTTACCCTGTTCTTTTCTCCTAAAAACCCTGGAAGTGGATGACTTTTGCTGCTTGTCTTTATAGGTCAGGTCTTATAGTAAGGGTGGGAGAAATTCCAAACTTCACGCCCCTCTTGGGGAATATGTAGTTGGAGATAAGTGGACTCCAAGTGAGGCAGGCTGTTGCCTGTTTCAGGCTTTAAAATCCATGTGGAAGCCAACAAGCAGCAAATTCACATCTCAGACCTCATATTGAAGTACATCTCTCAATGAAGATGTGGCCACATTTTGTATCCAGTTATTCTCAAATGCATTTAAGCTGTGTAGAGCTTTTTGTAATTCTGTCATGACAAAGATGTAGGGAATTAGGCATACTTTTGAAAGAAGTAGTTGCAAAGTCCTGCTCAAATGTGAAAAGGGATAATTCATCCTAGTTACTACCACTTCCTGATCATCTGAGTCTAGGTAGCCTCTGGTTAGGGTCCCAAAATGCAAAGCATTGTCACAAAAGATAGAAACACTTCATCTTAAGACCAGATGTGGTCTTTGTCAAATCTCATCCTTTTTCATCATGTTATGTTAATTAAGCCTCACCAAGCTAGTTCTTTGTCTGTTCACTGCCACAGGAGTATATAGAGTGCTAGTGATAGGACTGGTTTGTTACGCTGAAGACACTTGCTAGTGTTTCTTCACCAACTCTTTCAGGTGGCTTTGACGCAGGCAGAATGTGAGGTGATGTAAGGTGGTATCATAAAACAAGTCTTTTTACCCCAGATAAATTTTGGAGGGAAAATTAAACACTTCCTGTTGAAACACAAATGAACTTCACTCGTTTTCCATATAACAAGTGGAATATTAAGCATTTTTCTCTCTCTTTTTTTTTTGTAGGGTTTCCTGAAAGTACCCATCTGGTGGTATGAACCTTTGATTTACTACGGACATCAAGAGCCTATTCAGAACCAAGTGAATGGCGTGACCTGTAAGATAGGGGATTTGGAAGTATCTTCAGCTGGAAGTGAGTATGATCACTTTGTGAAAGGGACTATGTGCAAGGTCTGCCTGTGAGTGTGGAGGACTGGACTAAATTATCCAGGAAGTCCTTTCCCATGATCCTAGCTATAAGTGTCTAGGCATAAAGGTTTCTGAGAATTTCATGAGCAGAGCTGATTGCCTTTTATCAAATGGGCATCAGTACTTGCTAGAGTTTTACTTGAAGGGCATAGGGCTTTCTCAGTCCTGGTTGTCTTCTGAAAACTTTAATTTATTATGTCACCTCTTGAGTCTAAATCTCTATAAGCTGTTGAGAGAGACACAAATATAGTATGGGTTTTAATAGTAACGCATACATTGTTTTCATCCATATAAAATATTTGCTCTTTTAAAACTAGTTAAAATCAGACAAAATAATTTAAAGTAGGGAAATCAAATAGGGCAGAGATGAAATGAAATAAAATCAGGAAACAGTGCAACTTCCCCAAAAAACAAACTTCTATTGAAGCTCCTTCTAAACTAAAATTTCCCTCAGTGCTGAACTTTTTGTGCAGAGCAATATCCCTTTTTCCTTTTTAATTATCTCTTTAGTGTCACTCTTGTTACTGGCTTGCACTATGTCTAAGATTCATTTTTCTTCTAGAATTTTTTGCTTGGTGTATAAGAAGGTGCATGGGCATTGGCAAAAGTATCTTTCAATAGTTCTTGCTACTCTATACTTCCAACTTAATATTGCTAACAAGCATCACATCTGTTACCTATATAAGATATGCAGCTGTAGCAAGCTTCATAGAATTTGTTCATTTAAGAAATTTCACTGAGGGGATACCATGTTTCTTAGTTTCGTAGTTGGTAGGGTCGGAAGGGACCTGAGCAGATCATCAAGTCCGACCCCCTTCCATGGCAGGAAAAGAGAACTGGTGTTCATCCAGCCTTCTTTTAAAGACCCCCCAGGGTAGGAGCCAGCACCACTTCTCTTGGAAGTTGGTTCCAGATCCTAGCCTCCCTGACAGTGAAGTAGCACCTCCTGATAGCTAGCCTGAATCTACCCTCTGCCAGTTTGTGACCATTATTTCTTGTCACTCCTGGTAGTGCTTGGGGGAACAGGGACTCTTCCAATGCCTGCTGGTCCCCCCATGACTAGTTTGTAAACAGCCACTAGATCCCCCCCACCCCCAGCCTTCTCTTGTGGAGGCTGAACAGGTTCAGGTCCCGTAGCCTCTCCTCATAGGGCCTGCCCTTTTGACCCCTGATCATGCGGGTGGCCCTCCTCTGGACCCTCTCCATGTTGTCCACTTCCCTCCTGAAGTGTGGCACTCAGAACTGGATGCAGTACTCCAACTGCGGCCTGACCAGTGTTGCATAGAGGGGGAGGATCATCTCCTTGGACCTGCTTGAGATGCATCTGTGGATGCATGACAAGGTGCGGTTGGCTTTCCTGACCACATCCCCACACTGTCGGCCCGTGTTCATTTTGGCATTAATAATGACTCCAAGATCCTTTTCTGCCTCCACACTGATGGGAAGGGAGTTTTCCAGCCTGTAGGTATGGTGCTGGTTCTTCCTCATGTTGGAAGATTGTTGAATTCCTGTTTTCTGATTTTGGACCCAATTTTAACATCCAGCAGTTGAACGGCTGGGCCATTTTATTTTATCATTGTCCATGATCTTTTTTCTATTTCTCAAAGAAAATATTTTTGTTAAAGCAAATGGGAGACGGTGCTTACCCACTCCATGTTTTAAGTAACTAGTTTAAGCAGTGCCTCTGGCATTTTTTGCATTGTTTCTACAAAGTCTTCACTTACGGCTCATAGTAATCTGTCAAACTTGAAATATTACGGTAGGCTGCACTCTTTCCAGTTTTGTATATAACCAAACGTATTAGAGAATGTGTCAAATGCATGTAAATGCTTGAGAATGATGGTTAAGGAAGTAAGCGCAGGGCCATGCCCTTGACTGGCTTGATTATATAAGCAAAGCTGCATTTGTTGAACACCAGATTGACAAAAGATTTATCCAGATACTGTATAGGTGGTGGGGAAAGGAGTTGAACTAAGTTTTCTCTAATGATATCTGTTCTATTTAAAGCTTCTTCAACGTACATCCAAACAGACGTGAGGCTTTGTTACATGGGTGATGTAGAAATCTCTGGAAAAGCTTCTTTGGCAGATCTGAAGATTCAGGTTAGTGGTCATCCTTTGTATGTCACAGTGCTACTGTTCTTTCTAGAAGTAAGCTATATTAATACATATTTTTATTTCCTTTTCCCTTGTCTCCAGTATGTTCTGATATGGCATTTGCTTATATGCCATGTTCAGTGGTAAGTACCCAAATAGGTGACATGAGCATGTAGCTCACGCATTTCCTTAGTATTTTGTTTAGTGCAGTTGCCATTCTATCTATCACATGTCCCCAGCTGCAAAAAGCCATGCTGTATTTCATTTGAAATTTGATTCTTATGCCTTGTAGGCCTACTTTCTTGCTGTTGTAAAAGTGATAAAGAGAATTGCACCTCTACAAACACTACCAAAAGAACCACTTTCCATTTCCACATTGTTCCTGTATTAGTTTTTGTGTTTCATATGTTGAGTTCAACAACTAAAGAAATGCTTTTTGATACTAAGAAGACCTGGTTATGTCATTTGAGAAGGTGCTGGGATTGGCTCCATTGGCTGGAATCTGAGGCACATTTGTATAATTATTCTAATGTTTTAGCAATCATGGCTTTGAAAATGAAAAAAATATAAATAATACACTTTAAAAAATAAAAATTCAATTCTAGAAATGCATTATTCAGCCAACTGATTGTTCCATTTTCACTGCATGGGGAAAGGTGACTATCTTTAATTGTGGTCCATATTAAATCTCACTATTTTAGGTGAGACCAGAAGAGCTTGGTCTTAGCCTTAGTAAGCCTCTTATGACCTACTTATGTGGAAGGTGACATGACATGAACATGAGAGAAATCACTTGGGAATAAAAATAGTGTGCATTTGATCCACCTTTGCAAAAGATAAAGGAAGCTTTTCCAGTGCTTGGCTGGATCAATTTCTTTAGTCTAATTAAATTCAGTTTTAAAACCAGAATACAAACAGGAGTGTTTTGAAAATATTTTTCAAAGAATGTCTAATTGTGTGTTTACACTGAGAGAGACTGGGGAGGCAACTTGTCAGATAACCTGGACAGCAATATAGGTCTGTCTTAAATTTTCTCTCTGTGTTGCTTATTACTTAAAGAATGCATGGAGAATAAGTCAAATGGATCTCACCATGTGGCATTTCTAAGCTTTTGAAATAAGGCTGGCTGCTAAAAATTATTGAAGAGGTGTTTGGTTTTTCAGGCCATGACCTTGCCATCCTTCCAGGAGTTCAGTGTCCCATCACCAGAGTTTCTCAGAGCCTGGACAGTGGAAAGTAAGCGCCCAGGCAAACTTTTACGAAACAACCAGCAACAACTCAAGTAGGTTTCTCATTGAACGCTCAACCTTCAGTCTGTTACAACGCTACATGAGATGGATTGGTGGAGAAATAAATCAGTTCAGTCAAATGTTAACAGAAAACCCATTCCTGGTAATTTTCAATTTTGTGAGTTGAGTAACTATAATAAATTAGGTGGTTTATTTTAGTAACCTGAGGTCTCCTGATTGCTTTCAAGTGTTCATGGGTTGTGCTTATTTTTCAGAGTCGTTGGAATGCAGTGTGTGCATAGTGTCACCAGTAAAATTAAATAGCAGATTTGTGAATTGCAGTTCATGTTTTAAAATATGAAATGTGTGTGTGATCTTAATAAATCTTATTTCTTTCTTTCCCAGTGAATACAAACTGGGAGGCAAAGCAGAAATTTGCATAGAACCTTTACAGAAAGAAGAGAGCCTTAGGTAAGTACTCTAGTACCTGTTGATGTATTCTGTTGCTGTGCATTCCAAGATGCAACTCAACCTCACAGTCCTTAAACTAGCATTTAGATGCTGCAATCCTGACAGAAATATTGTGTGTTAGGAGACTTTTTATTTCAGATCCAAATTAATTTAGTTTTCCAGTTGAAAACTTTTTTTAAAAGTTTCTAATTGGGAATGTCCTGGAAGCTTGACTCAAGATCTTTATTTTTTTTCTCCCCCTCTTCCCCGATCACAGCCCCAGTGACTTACTACTTCGAGTACAGATGCGCATACCTGGGGAGAGGGATTATTACTGCTCTGTGGATTTGCTGTGGGATATCTCCAAGGAATGCACAGCATTGGCACTGAGGCAGCGACTTGCTGCACATTATTCTCTTCCCGTGGATAAAACTGAAATTGCTAAACACTTCCCTGAGAAGTTTGAGTGGATGCCAATATCTAGCTGGGTGAGTTTTGTAATGATAGACGTGCTGTTTTGGACCACAAAGACAGAAGCCACGGGTAGTTAGGAAAGTATTTTAGTTGCCCAATA